CTGGCACCAAGGCATTTTGGATCATTTTGGGCCACATACTGTTTTTTTCTTGGGATCTGGAAGTTCGATGAAATCGCCGCAGCCTCCTCAAAACATCTCAAAAAACAAACCTATCACAATTTGTCCATGACATCCTCATGAAATCAGCAGTTTGCGCTCTGGTCGAAAGTGGAAGCGTTCAGAGAATAAGAACTGCGTCGGATTCTGTGGCCATCTTGGTTCGCCAGCAGAACTTCTGAAGCCCTCTCGCTCGAGGACCGATGGGGTTTGGTTTTCCAGTTGTTTCGCATGTCAAGCGCGCCACTGGCGTTGCAAGGCTTTCAGTTTGTGGCGATGTGGCTTTGAGATGGCTTTGAGATGATGAATGAACTTATACAGAAATATTACAGTCTGTGCGACATTCTGCAGTCGTATGCATTTCTTTAGGATTGTTTTTCTCTCTCCCTTCGCCGGGTTTGCTTCTCGGTTGGACCTTTTTCGTGGTTTGGCCCCCCCTTTCCAGCCACCAAGTTTGGCTCCTTTGCTTTTAACCTTGACTATCGTTATAAATGGAATAGTAGGACCCCAATTCACTGGAAATGCTGGCGCAATATTGTTTCGAATTCAGGGGCTAAGACTGAGACTAGGCCAGGCAAGCATATTAGACTCGCCCCTCCATAGAAATTTGGCAAAGAATCCATTCCAGTTGTTCCATGCACTCACCCCACCAGTCACAAGATTGACCCATTTGGAAGCCCAGACGCTCGATGTATGGTGTGTATGCCTATTATGTTGACCCCTGAAACCACCCAAATGTAGGTATAGAATGGCATGCCATAAATGGAGTGTTTGGGAAGGGACTTGCAAAGCAAGGGCCTCCCGTCGTCGATCCATCAGGTTCGCCCGATGTTGTTTTCTTCGCTACAGGAAGCTCCGTGCGGAGGCATCATGGAGGCTGAGGACAGACCAACCAGCTATTTGTTTGGGCATCCTTTTTGACGACTGGTAGGGGGGTGGTTGAATGACTGGCATGGGTTTGTCATGGAATCACTGGTATGGCAAATGGGGTGGTTTGATCAAGACAAACATCCTCCTTTGGGGGCGATGCACGGCTCGTGGTTGGGGAGATTACAGGCACCACGGTGCCACAGTTGGATGACTTCAAGTTCAGTAGAGGCCAAGTCTTGACCATCATTCACTGTGAGACTGTGCGTGACTAGAGTAGGCGGCCCAAAGCCTAAACACTCGAGCATCATACTATATTAGTTCAACACTTATTTGTGTTCTGAACGATGCGTTTGCTGCACATGGGGGTGTGAACAGCCGCAAGCTGTGCTCCGAGGGTCCGCCATGCACCGAGTCCTGCCACTGCTGCAGGACAAGTTTGCAGCTCTTCGCACCAAGATCTTTACCGAGTCTCTAGAGACATCAAATGAGCCAAGGCGATGACGTTTTGAGTGGAGAGCAGAGACATAGAGAGACCAGAGAGAGAGAGAGAGAGAGAGAAAGGGAGGGAGGGAGGGAGGGAGGGAGGGAGAGAGAGACCAGAGACCATAGAGAGACCAGAGAATGCAATATGGCGAGAGAGAGAGGGAGAAAACACAAAAACAACAAAAGAACTGCGGTCAATAATGGTGTACCGAATGCATATAAACGCATTGGGTTTACACGTCAATGCCGCAAAAGGGAGGGAAACATCAGCAACCCTTAGGTGTTGGCTTTTGTGACTTTTTGCGGCGGTTTGGTGTTTGTCCATGTCTGTCCTATTTTTTGCATCATGCCTCCGTCGCGTCAGACGAGCCATCGAGTCAGGGCGCCAGACTCTGCACACGGAGAGAGAGAGAGGGTCCAGTTACAGAAGAGACTCAGTGGTAACCGGGCTGAATGTTAATCCATTGGGCTGAGTTCAGGGAGTTTGGTTCCAATGTTGGCCACAGCAACTTCAGGTTGGATGGCACAAACCGATCAAACACTTGGGATGTGTAAGTACGTATGTGACCTATACGATACCTCTTCGGTGTCGTGCCATTTAGTAAATATCCTGAATGGAAGCTGGGAGAAAGATTCCTACCAACGTTGGCACATGTTGGCACACTTTTCATGGGATGGCTGGAGCACTCACTTTGGCTAAGATCTTGTGATGAACGCCTTTGTTAAAAGAAAGGCTTCATAAGACATCCTTTGTCACATGATAGCTACATGAAGATACATGAAGCTGCCATGTCGCAGTAGGTCGTCTCCCCTCGTTTCGATTTTTTTTTTCGGCAGTGGAACTGGATCATCGGCACAGGTGGGGCTACTTTGGCATCCCAGGCTCACTGGCCATTGGTGACAACTCCTATGCACCCAGGCCGGCACCCCACTGGCGTCCGCGGAGTGCGATGGACGGAAGGGCCGGGGAGGATGAAGCCGGAGCTTTCTTGTTTCCTTTGACGAACAAAATGCAATTGAATCAAGATATTATTAGTTGGGCCGTAGGGCAAGCTAATGGGTCCCTATGGAGACTTCCTATATAATTGCTGCATGCTTCCGGGGATTGCCTTTGACGCCCGTTGTGGACCGTTTCCCATCTGAAGCCGGATTGTTAAATGGCATTTCAGCTGTGGCGCAGGGGAGTATGGCAGTCTAGCAGCTGTCGTTACCAAACCCTGCGGAGACGACATCTGGCCTCCAGCAGTCGAAAAGCTCGCCATGTAGGCGACCAATCCCCGTGGACCCCAGTGACCACTATATAATTATAAGGAACCAGGGTTTCTAGGTCTATGGTTTCAGTCTTTGAAAACACTGGTTACCAGCTATAGTGGTAACTGGATCCCCTGAAAATGGCTAGCATGGGCTACAGAATGCACCACTTGGAACGATTCAGGATTCCTATCGGCCACTAGAATCTGGTCCATTTTCAGAACCCCTCTTCGTCTCGGATCTGCCCCCCCGGATGTTCGCGCATGGTCTTTTTTTCGAGAAGGCACCCCTTCGAACGCTCGGCTCGGCAGGTTAACCAAGAAGCCAGTGGCCGATGATGCCGATGAGAACACCACACGGAACATCCAGTCCTGTCCGACCAAGACTCTTGGAGGTCTCAGGCCGCGAGCGACCACGGCACCGGTCATTCAGCTGACCATCCATGGGGCCTCCTTTTGGGGATGGGGATGGGGATGGTAGCTCGCAGCTCCGTTCCTCGGGGCATGCGCCATGCGGAGGTCAAATTCCATACCCCTTCTCCTACTCGTTGAAGAGGTGGTGGTTTAGACTGGCACATTCTCTGGAACAAGACCTGGAGCCTGAAGTTAAAATTACAATGGTCCCACTAGTATGTACCCCCTACGTTCCTTCAATCGACTTTTCTTGGTTTCTACTTTTCACCCAACCCATGTACGAGTTGGATTGGTCGACCCAGTGCTGGACAAGTGGAACTGCTCCTGCGTCCCGCAGTTTCTGTGCAAACTGAGGAAAGGTACCACACCAGATGTCTACTTCAAGTTCGAAACTCCTTTAGCCATTGGAGATCCGTGGCTCAGCAAGAGATTGTGAGAACATCACAGAGGCTGATGAAGGACATGCGCGGCTGACTAGTCGGCCCACTATGAAGATCTCTGAAGTGATTTTGCTGAGAGGACTTCTGAAGTTTGTATCTTGGGGGGGGTCGCACGCCAACTAGAGCCGAAAAGAAGCACACCTGGGACCTCTTGTTGGAAACGGGGCTGAAGAGATGTTCATTGATCCAGTTTGCATCCTCCGCCCCGAATCAGGTTCGTCGATCCGGGCGATGCCATGAAGAAGGGCAAGGTCTGGATGTTGGACGCTGATGCAAGCTTCAAACCACCTGGCAAGGTGAAGCAAAGCTGCTCGGTGATGTGATCCGATGTGTTGGTTGGATGGGTTGATAGACCAGCCCAGCCAGCGGCCCAGCCTCCCCCTGGTAGCACCAAGTGGTGGAGAAAGTTGATTGGCTTGTGCAGAACGCAAAGTTGTAGTCACATATGAGTCACTGCATGTTTTTCACTGTTCCGCATGCTGGCTGAGCCAGCTCCAGGGTAGTATACGGGATCCCGGTCTTGGCATCGCCAACCCTGGACGCTTTCGCTTGCACACGTGGAGACGGGGCACGTGGCATGGCACAAGTAGATCAGGTCTCAGGTTGCGATCGGCCGATCCATCCCTCAGCTTGGCCCAAAAGGATCCAAAAGCATTCACACTCAGGTATCAACAAGCTTGGTTATGAGTACGTGGAACTCTCAGTTCGAGCTTGGGTGGGGGTGTGTTCTGAAGAGCGCTGATCACATCCCAGCTTGGAGAATATCATATGTTTGCTTTGTCCTGGTTTAGTGGTTGTGGATGGTTATGGAGGATAATGACATGCACATTAAAGCTAAGTTTTCTTAGGGAGAGAGATTGTGTTCATGGTTTCTGGGTGGATCATCCCAACATGTGACAAGAAGATGGTAGTCGGAATGATGCACCCCCAATCACTTCAAGTGTGGATTGCAATGGCGAAACTGTGGTGGAAGGTGAAGGTTGTTCATACTGATCAAGGGCAGAGGAGCAAGCCAAAGTTCATGAAGATGCAGCTACTGGTATTCCGGAGGTAACTATAAGAGGCATCTAGACTTGCCAGATGAAAGAGGCTTTGCATCTTGTGACATGTTCATGTTTATACCACGATACCCGTACGTCCCAGACGGGTGGAACTGCATGACACTTTTTTGACTGGACTTCAGGGCAAAGGGTGACCCGAAGCTGATCCACTTGAAACACTCTGACAGGGTTTGATGTGGTTTGATCACTTTGGATAGGATGGAATAGGTGTATGTGAAGCGTTCGCCCACCACTCTCCCAAGTCTTGCCATGGGTGCAGGCCCTTGAGCTATTCACTTATGGATCCATGCTGCATCGCGCTTAGGTGGAGCATTGTGACCAAGTGAAGGATCCCAAGGAGATCAAAGACAAGTGCCTTCTCAACTTGCCACCCTGGATCAATGAGAAGCTCTCCCATCCACCCAGCAACAGTGCCAACAGTAGTGTCCAATTGTGGATGAGTGTTTTCGCTGTGATCGTGGAGAGTATGCTTTATACAGTAAATTTGGCTCATCCAGAGGTAGCTTGTGTTGGAGCTGGGTATACAAACACCTTGAAACTGTCCACATGGGCGTTGAATTCTTCATTTTTCGTGTTACTCCCCTGCAGATTAACATGGAACCCTCAAGAACCAGAAGACAGTCTTCCACTGGTGCCATACTTGAAGGACCCCAAAGCAGGAGTCAGCTGGTTTACGGGTTTTACATGGTTTTACCGCTTTATCTGAGAGAGGTCTTGCATCAAACTGGTTCGACCTCATTTTGCAGAACATGTGCAGTGTTTGGTATCGAACATGTGTGTCTCATCGCCTCCAGTGTCGCACCCTGACGGGGTCCACTTGGAGGATTCCTTGCTCAAGTGCTCGTGCGCTGAAAGCCACAACTATGACCAGATGGATTCGCTGGATACGGAACATCTGATGCGTGCCTTCTCCGCTGGTACTCGGAAGGTACTCAGACTATATCCCACCTCGCAACATCCTGGGCGGTGCGTCCAAACGAGGCACGAGATGCGCTGAGAAGTTTCCCCACTCTAAGATGGAATGGTATGATTGGTATGGAATGGTAGAAATTGTCCTTTTGTGAACATAAGTAGTTGTTGTTATGGGCCTGTCTCTGTCCCCATTCCATGTGTCCGTTGGACTGTGTACGCTACTAGTCCCTGAGAATGTACTTCTTGAGGGGCAGACCCACAATGTGATGGACAGGCTTTGATGCCCTTGCCCAGCTTGCGCTGTTCTCAACCCACCATATTAGAGGAACACCCTGCGGTTTTCAACTGCTATCCAGCCTGCTTTGCTTATATTAGTCAACCGTCTATATCTACCAAGCATTTTTCCATGGCATGTGTTTGAGTCCTCATGGCAGCGGATGCAGGTGGCCCCGGCGTGCTCACTGGCGGTGTTCTCTTTGGCTTTGGGGACCGTCAGAGTGATGAGTCAAAGGTGGAGAGTTGAAGAGAAGCTCAAACTTGCACAAGATCCGTACCGTAGATGCAAGACATTAGCAATGTTCCCGCAAGCCGAACAGATCGTGGCAAATTGTGCAAGCTTGAAGCTTCCCTGAGATTTGCTGTTTTCAAGCTGTAGGCTTGCAATTGTTCTACATGGTTACATGGAAATCGCCACCTGCTTGGTATTCGGATGTCATGGTCATCCAGGGGTCGCCATCCACGTCACTTTGGAGCCTGGAGGCTCCGCCTGCTCCAGGAGCCTGGAGCTTTCCCGGAACACATCCCCGACGACTACGATGCTGCCAGGCACAGAGGGGGGGGATGCTGCCATGCTCCACCGCGGCCGTGAAAAGCGACCCTGTCGGTCGATTTCACCCCACCTACTTCCAAAGCTATTTGATGCCTGGACTGGACCTTCAAGGGGTGTCTATATTTATAGCCCCAAAAAGCCGTGATTCGGGGTGTCCATTAACCACCCCGACTGGGGGTCCTGGATATGGTGATGGTTTTAGAGATATTCTAGATGCCCTTTCAAGGTTTAACTGTATATAGATATCTACTCCAACCATGATCCAACCCACTGGCTATGATATGGTTCGTTCGTGAGTTGAAACCACCAATGAGCTATATATACATTCATATATATATATATATATTGTAAATACACGAGGTTCCAACGAGATGGCGTTGACCACAACTCGCTCGTTTTGGCACGTGTGCTCCTGTCCAGCACCTAGTATACTCGTACATCATGCAGCCCCCACAAAGTGTGTTTTTCCCCGACCTTTTCAGGTGAGGGTTCGATTTTAGAACCACCTTTCAGGCTGAAGATCACTTGAAGAGTCTATTTTCCCTATGCATCCCTCACATTCCTTGATCAGACGTGTTGAGCGCGCGAGCCCGCGACGCAGCTCCTCGTCGCGACCGACGCTCCCTGTAGGGACCGACGCTCCGCACAGGTCACGTAACACAGCGAACGGCCAGCGGTCAAGTGGAGTTCACCCCCCGGTTCCGTGAAGTCCTTCCATTTGAAAGTCGAGAGGTGACCATCTTAAAGTCAAGTGAAGTCCGACCGAGAGTCGTGGTCACCATCTTCCACTTCCGCATGTGAGTCGGTGTAGATGGGCCGCCGGTCATCCGGATGGTTTTGGGCTTGAAAGCGTCTTTGGAACTGAATTCCTTTGCTTTGGTGCTGGAGCAATGAAGGGGAACACTCTCAGGTGCCATCATCTCTCGGCTTCATTCAAGCGGGTCGCCCCATTGGCCCTTGCCGCGGTCGCCCCATTGGCTCCAGGTTCAGACTGGTGACGTAGACTCGTTGATATCTCTTGATCAATAACCCCGCTCATTTGCATGGTACAAACAAATAAGGCCTCTTCAAATGCTGAGACTTATTAAAGTGAGTTTTGGATTTGATAATTCCTCTATCAAGTTATCCGCTCTGAGAATCCCTTCTTCGTGATTTGTCCTCACGTCCTCCTTCGTCCCCGCAGGAAGCAGCGCAAGAAAGAGCTGGAAGAGCATCACAGTCACCCGACAAACCACGTCCCGAGTGTTTCGGGAATGACCCGGGCGGCTCGCCGCGAGCCGCCTTGGCGAAACCTTGAATCCACGTCCGAAAAAACAGGAGACTCCGGGATTTTGATACCCAGCCACGAAGTCGGTGTTGGCCGTTTTTTTTTTTTAATTTTTGGCTCCCAGGCAAGAGTCGGCAATACAAGGCATATACTACCATGAGTTACGGTATGATAGTATGCGGAGTATTCTACGGTCAGATTATTTAAGCATGTGGGATGCTTCCTTGTAGCATGCACTGGAGCAACTACGGGCACTTTGTTTGCAAGGGGTTTGGCAGATTGGTGGCAACGTGTTCACCCGATGCATAGCTTGATGAGGTATAGGTTGACATGATGTTAGTCTGGGGGAGGGTAAGAATTCATGTTCGGAACCTTCGACGGAACGCTCGGCGACGGCGTTTTCACCCAGGCAAGATCCAGGAGCAATCCTTCAAAGGCTTGGACTATGGCAACTTGGTTTTCTTCCAGGTCCACCGGTCGGGGTGGTTACTGTAATAGACAGCCCAACTTTACTGTTTTGGGGGGGCGAAATCGGGAATCCTTGAGCTTTTAGCGAATCATGACAGAGAGAGAGAGAGAGAGAGTGCCCCAGAATTGTTCATGAAACCCCCAGCTAAGGGTACTATGTAAATCACTGGACATGCAACTTTTCCAGTTTTAACCCACTGAAGTTCCAGTTCCAAAAGGGGCGGTTCTTTCGTGCTTCAGTGAGTGCCAAGAACACTCCTGAATTCACCGCTCCTACCCCAAAAGGATCCCAAACCAAAACCAGAGACCCCATGACACCCCCAATAGAAGAAACACATCGTTCGTGCCCTCTCTCGTGTTCAATTGGAACTGATGGCGTCCGCATGTTCTCGTCCTCGTGTGCTTCCAATACTATGGGCTCCTCTCGTCTCCTCGTCAAGGAGGCAAAGTTTTACTTGGAAGAACTCCGCGAAAACAGGGATGGAAGAAGGAGGTCTCGCTGATGAGCATGGTTGTACGTTCCAGAGTCGTTTATAACTATATCATCTCGAGCACATGGTGGGCTTGGTCCTTCTTACTTCATGTCCCTCAGGCAATCGCTATTTCCAAAGCAACGAGGAGGCCTTTGGAGGTGCGTCAGCGTCCCGCGAGCGTCAGCCTTGAAGCCGTCCGCCGCGAGCCACCGGGGGGAGGGCGCTCAGCGCCTGTTCGATGGGTTTTCAGGGCATGGCCGCATCAAAGCGAAAGATGGGATGTGGCACCTTACAAAGGTGGTACAATTATGTAGCGATCAGCGATGGATCAATCATCTTGAGCCGAGGGATCAAGCCTCAACCAACCTGGAGATGTAGAACCAGCCTGGGGACGGGAGGTGGAGTCATCTGAACCTGTGAGAGAAATCCCTACGCGCCCAGTTTTCCGGGCTGTGCTGGAAGCTCCCGAGACCCAACCAGCTTACAGGTATGTTTTGATATGTTTTAGTATTAGGATCCTAGAAACTCTCCATATGTTTTAAATTAAGCAACTGTCTACATGATGTTTTAAGTAGTTCATCTTGACTGTTCTTTCTATTAAAACTCCCTTCTGGAGATGTTGACGTCATCAATGCGGACAGGTGGATTCATCAGCAGTGAACCACCGTTTGGCCAGAATCAGGCAAGGACAAAAACACCACAAAAAAAGACAACCTGCAGTCACAAAGGGTGCTATCCATGGAGGAAGTATGGAGGTTAGGGGTGCCCGAACGTCACATCCACGAGCCCCTGGATGGGACGAGCCACACCACCACCACCACCACCACCCTGGCCTCCATGTGACTCTTGGAAGCTTCGCCTTTTCAGGCCCTTCAGGCAGCTCAGCTAAGGCAGCTCACAAGCGTTTTCGTTCAATTCCCAGACACCACTCCATGGGACTGGCATATTTATATACTGTACCGATCAGTTGGGGTGGTGCCAGGGGGTCTCTCTGGGGCGGCATATATGGCAGTCCCAGACGGGTCGCGTTTGGGAGGGTTTTTTTCTGACCAAATGGTTCGCCTCTCCATTCTCTGAGCAGCAGGGCAAGCAAGCAGTCCGGCGCCCGCAGGCTTCGAGGGCGTCCCCACGCACGTGCCGCGCGACCCGCCGCCGGACAAGACGGCGCCTGCGGTGAAGAAGAAGGGAAGACGACGCGTATCACCGGGCGGTGAAATGATGTTGCATACAGGGTACTTGGATGCACTTGGATTCCTTTCGGGTAATGGAGTAGCACCCTACCCGAAATCCAATCATAGAAGTGTACAAGAGCCTTGTTTAGAACATTAAATTAAGGATATCTAGTGCCAGAACAGTTACTTTCCTATGTGTTCATTTTTCATGGTGCTTTGAACGAAACAGACTCATTGGAAGAGTGAATCGCAGCAAAACAACAGCAACATGATCTATAAATCTACATAGGGGCCCGTCGCATGAAGTTGTCATCAACGATTGCAAAGAGTCCCACCAGTTGAACAGGCTAGACGCCTCGTGTCTTTGGTCCATGGAAACCTCAAGCGAAGGATGGAACCAGGTGGCCTCCGCAGGCGGGTGGAACACCTTCTGACCTTGGAACCTTCGTGTTTTTTCTGGTCGAAGCCATTGGACACACATCGGATGGTGGCTGGAAAGCAACCCACGTTTGTGGGTGCACAGGATGCTAGCCCACTACCTCTCTTTCTCGCTGGGTGCGATGTTATGAGGGGTCAGGCAGGTGAGTGCTTTGTTCATCGGCCGGTGCTCAGCTCTAGATGATCCAAATTTCTTAAGTCAACGTCCACCGACCACCGAAGAAAACCAAACGACTCGACTTAGGTTCATCGGCACGTCGCGGCACGGAGAGCACGTCGGCGCTCCGCGCGGATGGCGCGCAGAGTGTGCTGATTCTGAGGCCAAGTATCCTCATGAGTCGCCTTTCCGGCCGCCCAACCCCATGAAGCGCGACGCAGTGGGATGCCTCATGGGCGGCATCCCAGAGCCCCTCAGACTGGAAGACGGGAGAAGAAGGGCTTTTATTGCGGAGGAAGGGTTTTGAAGGATTTGAGGCATGTTTTGAGGCTGAAGAAGTGGGTGTGGGGAGCTTTTGGTGGTATTTCTGGAGGCAGGCAGGCCTTGACGCAGATGGTGAAGGGGTTCTTTAACGAGCCAGGGATGACACAGAATCCTCTTAGACAAGGTTTGCTGCCATCGAAAGTGGATATTGATATAACAGATACAACGTGCGAGGGTCACGACACGTTGTTACTTGTTTGTAGTGTTTGTTCTGTTCTGAAGTTCAAAGTCCATCCTGGTGGTGAAGCGGTGTCATCTACTGTACTCTTACTCGTTCAATGATTCTTCCGTGTGTGTGTTTTTTTTAAATGTACCCTAATGTAGACTCTTGATTAACAACCCCCCATATGAAGAGTTGTTTCAATCCAATGATGTGTTTTTTAAAGCAATTATATAGTCAAGAGTGTACATGATGGTGCTCTTGGACTATTAGTTGTTGGTTGACAAAGCCTGACAAACCTCCCATGCGGTGGGACACCATCCCACCCTGCCTGAGGTACATCCCTTGTCCAGAAGATCCTGTGGTCCGAAAGCCTAAGGTGGGGCACAGCTACGATTCGAACATATTCGATCCTGTAGTGGATTCAGTGCGGCTGGCCGACACAACAACTGTAGACATGGGCTCAAAAGCTGGACATGTCAACTCAGGGGTCATTGCTTTTGTTCAGCATTGTCCCAGTGGTTTTGGGATGGGATCCTTGTTTTGAGCCATCGTTGATGGAGTCTTTGAGGGGTGTCCATGAAGCAAGACTCCGGGAAAAGGGACCAACAAAAGCACCAGAACCAACTCATGGGGCCAACAAAAGCACCAGGATCATCTCATAAAAAGCCACTGAAGGATACTCAAGGATACTCAAGGAGTTGTTTGAAACAGACCAGGTCCCTGTTGGGCGTTTTGCTTTTCTGATTTCCCCTGGTGCAGGTGGAAGATGCACCACCAGCACCTCAGCGATCTACAACCGCTGGGCGGTGGGTCGGAGTCGAGCTGAGTCGAGCTCCTCCGAGCTCCGTGCACCGCCGTGTGCGGAGAGAAAGGACCTCTCAGAATCTAGGGATCCAGTCGTACCTGAGAAGGTGGGACTGGGCTGGGTGCCAGGAGGGTTCAGTCGTACCTGGTGAGGAGGTACGACTGGATCCCGGATGGGAGAGGAGAATTTTGGCACCCAAGAACTGGCGGTTTTTTCTTGGAGGACCTCACTTGGAGACAGTCCCGGTCCTCGATCCACATAGCCTTTGAGAAGGTGATTGGACTCTCTTTTATGTATACTCGGAGGGTCCAAGTACCTTCTGAGAAGGTATGTGGATCTACCAATTGGCCCTGGAACTCTGTGGAACATTCTCCGGTCCTCGACTGTACAGGGCGCCGGATTGACCAGCGAGTTGGAGAGCCGCGACCGGAATGGGAAGGACATACAGTCATTCACAACCTGGGTGGTGGGTTTCAGATATGTTTGTTCCAACTATAACTTAGGATGATTGGACATGATTGAACCGTATGATTGAACCCACTGCTAGAAGAATCATGCATAACAACTGCCGTGTTCTCGCCCGTTTGCTGAACCTGTAGCGTGCTTGGCAGTGAGTTCAAGAGTGGATCAGATCGCACCACCTGCGGATGCCGCCACGTTCGATCTGGTCGGATGCCGCCACGTTCGATCCCGTCCGGGTGCGCACCGTGCTTGGTAAAAAGGAATGCGTTTTCCCTCCAAGTCCAACGTCCTCATGGTGGAAGTGGATGGCATGGCCCCTGAAAAGACCATTTTGATGAGTTACTTAAGAGAAGGATGTTCCACTTCCATGTTTCCCAGACACTCCATGCCATATATGCCGATCAGGCCAGGGGTGGTGGCTGGGGCGTCAATGGGGCGGCAGTCCTATGGCAGTCCCATGGAGTGTATGGGTTTGTTGGAGGGTATCTGACACTTTTCGGGATAGCACCCCCCCTCACCGTTGCCAGCCGACGTCTGAACGTCGAAACGTGGCGCCCCGTCGACTCAGGCCTTCAAGACTGGAGCGCCCAAGTACGTGGCGAAGCCCACGCCCTCGGCCCCTGGGGCTCAATTACTGGTTCCTTTGGAGGTTTGGGCGAAGCCCACAAAGTTTAAGGAGTTTGGCTGTGTAGTCGACGTTCTTCCTTTTTTTTGGCTGGGAAGTGGTCTTTCTAGAGATGAATGGTTGAAAACATGTTGAAACCACCTTGAACCTGACGATGCGCTGTTATGGACCAGGTTGTTTGGTGGGATTGGGGGCCTAGAGTGCTGCAACAACCATCACGAGTGCTGTAAGCACCCACGTCGCGTGCCATCGACGCTCCAGGTACGCACCCTGGGGACCCCTGACCTGAAGCCGAAGTCAACGGGTTTTTCCCACCGACCATTCCCTATATTTGCATCCTCCGCCCCTTGAAAATGGAACAAGACTCAAGACCTCCAAAACAGCCATAAATCACCAACACGGTGACGCTCATGTTGGGTGTGCTGAAGAAAAAAGCAGTGTTGTGGAAGGCATGTTCATGAGGTTGGCTTCCAAGCATTGCCGCCTCACTTGGAACCTTCTTACCTGGAGCTTCCCTCACACCATGCTCCTTCCCTCTGGGCCATGCGGCCATGACCCAGGTCACCACGCTAGCACGGAACATGCGCAACGAACGGCCCTCGAGCTTTCTGCGGCCGCGCCTTGGTGGGGACCGGGGACCGCGGTGCGTTCAGCCCACGGAAATGACCGGATGGTGGGAGATGAACCAGAGTCGAAGTCAACGAGAGTCAATGTGCGCAGATGAGTTCTGATGGAAGTGTGCTTCGATAGGCCATCAAAAGGTGTGATAAGGTGTGTGTTAATATATGAGTGAATTGGGTGTTGAACGGGTATTATTTGTGATTCAAGTGTAACACAGTGTAACTACTACAAGAACGCCCCGTAGAGGTTATAGTAATTGCATTTGGTAGGTATCATCCATATACCGTATGTTTTTTGGTTGTTTGTTTTTGATGGGCTGGGCGTTTCCACAGTGGCCAGTTGTTGTTGTTGTTGTTGTTGTTAACGTTGTTGTTGTTAACGTTGTTGTTGTTAACGTTGTTGTTGTTGCTGTTGTTGTTGTTGTTGTTGTTGTTGTTTTTCTCAAAGGCCCTTTCAGTGAATTCTTCCCTGCGCTGCGCCGCGGTTTCTGCGCCAGTGATGTCCCATGGTCCGTCCGTGATGTCCCATCGGTGGTTTTGGGCTGCGCCGCGCGCCAGTGATGTCGTTGAAGAACACTCAAGAACACCCTCCAGGCCTTGAGATGTGAACGACCATCTACCTGGACCTTCAAAGGGGTGTCCAATGGAGATCCCTAGGTAGTGTAGGGTAGGGGCTTCCATTGGTGACCCCTTTGAAGGTGCTGGTATGAGTCTTATAAAGAAGATCTCTTGATGAATTATGCCCCACCAGACATGGATTGTAAAACGATCTTCATTTGGGGGGGAGTGAAATCTGATGAAATCTGTTTATTATCAAGAAATGAACATCAAGGTCGTGTTTTCTTATGCTTCATCGGGCCCACAATGAGCTACAATAAGCCTTCAGTGGTCCACAGTTGTTCCCAGGAGCTTTCGCACATCGCTTTGATTTGGAATGGCTTCGGCGGTGTCCAGCGTCCCAAGGACTCTTTGAGTTGACCTTCGGCATCACCGAGAGCTGACCGTTGGGCGATGACAGCGCAGGGTGCACAGGGAGACGTTCTTCGGTCGTCGCGTTCTTCGGTCCAGCGAAGGACACGGGCAGCTAGCAGCTAGACCAGGACCCCACTTTGGGGTGTGTTAATGGACATCCCTTAACCTTTAAGGAGCTACAATTGGACACCCCTTTTTCGGGGGCGCTGGTAGAGATGAAGAGAAGAAGACACGCCCAAATGCTGCAACACATTCTGACTCTCCAAACGTCTAGATTTGATTGAGCCTCGCTGGTCGCGCCTCGTGTGGTCGTCGTGGTCTGGCTGAATTTGCATGTGTTGCTCAACCTCGGCCATCCACAATAAATTTGTGCCAAGTTTCCCACCAAGAAATAGGGACCGGCAAGTGATTGCTTCCTTTTTCCTTTGCCAGTGAAATTTTTCCGCAGGATAAATATCCTATTTTTGAGCTGTAGCTCTAAAAGTTAGGGGGGAACCGCACTTCAATTGTATACCGTATACCTGTTTGGCGGGACTGCATTTTGACAGAATCTATGAAGGAATCAGTAGGAATCCGAAAGCTTCGACATGTCAAGATTAAACATATATGATTAAGGGATTAGACTAGACCATTTTAGTGAACATCCCAGATCTTCACCAGGCTGCAGCCTTTCTCCCTGTGCATCACAGTAGGTTTCACTGCATGGCGAGAGCTGTAAGGCACGATCGCCGAGAATCGTGGCCGGTCAGGGTACAACTTGTGAAAAGCCAGCTGGATTTGATGGGGACCATACATGGGGGAGACAGTTTATACTATAGAATGGGTATACTTCAGTGACTGGGGGAATTTCAATTGGGATGATTTGTGGGATTCTCATGTTGCATGCCTACTGTTGCAAAACATGAGTGCATGGTTGATGGCTTTGGGACGATGGCCAAATGGGGAGCCGGAATCTTCATTCTCCTGTTCGCCATGAAACATGTTCGAAAGCCATCCAATAGGAGGGTGATGTAGTTTTGACGGAGGGCTTGCCTGTCAGCGGCAGGTCTAGGCACTTGTGCTCCCCTTTCATCGCGAGAACGGGCAAACCTGTTAGCCGCTAGCCTTCGACAGTTGCGTTTAACAAATAGCAGCTGCATCCATTTGAGCAGGGTAACCGTCATACTGTAAAAGGGAAATAGGTGGCATGGACCGAACCCACTAAGGCCAAGCGAGGTGTTCCGTGCGAAGCTCGCGTGGACGATATGCGAAACAGTTTTTTGTTCACCGTTTCACCCGGCGCGGACGTGGATGTGTGACCCAAACATGGGCGGAACTGAGAGTTGCCCGGGGCGGC